TAATATGGTACCTTATCTTTTAGCAAATCGGATCAAGATGGTATTTTTAATAGGTCATTTTTCGATTTTTTCAATAGTTATTTAATGCCACGGGAAAAACATAATAAGAAAAACCTCTAAAAATGGGATTTTTTCTAACGCTTTGTTTATCACCATACCAATGAATAAAAAAAAAAATAATATTATAATATTAATTAAACTATGAACTAACAGGCTAAAATAAAATAACATAGTACCTAACAATATTTTTAAAAATACTAACATACTATCAATCTATAAATTATACATTAAACAAACACTTATAGAAACAATTCAAATGCAGATACTGAATAATACAGATATAATAGACAGTAGAACAGGTAATAACATAAAATTACCTTATATATCACTATCCAGTACAAAAAGTGCTCCCGATTATATGGTCAAAACTATATTCAACAATTTAGGAAATGATGTAAAGAGTCTAATAAAGTATGAATGTGAAAATCAGTCTAATAAAACCAATGTAAAAAATATAATTAACAAAAATCGTATAAAAAATATAATTACTAAAATAGTAAATGACCTAGATGAGAATGTGTGTAAAAATCAATTATTAAAAAGTATCTATATGTAAATATAAATGATTATCTATTAGTATTGTTTAGTTATATAATTATAAGATAATGTTATTTAGAGAAGTAAAATACATCATTCTCAATTGTATAAGACACATTTTATTTTATTTTATTATATTATATAAGTAATATGTTTAGGAACTCCGTATACCAGAAACGAGCTTGCTCAGTTGGTATACGTATCAGCTCTTATCACTATTATTATAGTAATTTAACTTTTGTAATTTGACTTATTTGTATTATTGTATTGAAATAATGATATTGATTTTACTGAAATAAATAAAAAAAAAAAATATAAAAATCCAGACTGACAAACAGTCTCCGCTCAGAATCGTTTTTCTTATACAATGATATTATATCAATGAATTCAAGTCTAATATAATCCATTATACATTGACCCACTTGTAACCTACTGTACAGCAGAGTAACATCCACTTACCCGTTTTTTTTATACTCGTAGATAGGTATAATATGAAAACGTCGTTGAAAACATAATGTTCAACAAATAGATATTATAGTAATGTTCTACTATTACTTCCAAATTTTTGCAGTTATAATAATATTTTGTAAACTTATTTACTTAGTTTTAATAAGATATTTTTGAACAATGCAAATTGCCAATTAAATTATTTACTTTTTTAATAAAATATTTAAATATGTATATTATCGTAACGATTCCGTTCTTTATGGTTTAAGCAACATCATAATAATTTAATATGCAGTACCTATGTACCTACCTATTATAATATATCGTACTTAATCTTCTAACGACTAACAGTATTATAACTATAGGTACTTATAATAATATAATAATATAGGTGAGACACTTACATCAATAGTTTCCCGAATGTTTCAAATGTGTAAAAACTATGATCCGACCGTGTAACTTGCAGTCTAAGCGTGTGGTGTGAGCAATGAATAACGTGTCATAATTAATATACTGAAAGTATATATAGAGCATATAAATTATACATAAACCATATGGTGCAAAATAACTCTATAATAAATGTGTATAAAATTATTATACTATTTACCTTTCATAATATTTAATGCATCATATATTTATCAAAATAATATTATTACATTATTTTTGGTCTATAATACCTATATGACGTGTCTACAAAGTTTTATAATAATTATTTTAAGTATATTTTATAGTTAATTTAAAAATAACATAAAATTAATTAAACACCGACGACCATGATTTATTCACCGGGTGGCGTATTTCCCGATCCTAGTACGTTTCAGCGCGAACCTCTCTGCATGATGTATACATGTTTTTACCTATCCTAATCTGATTCAGCTCAAGGCGCTGAACCAACATAGGGTTCGTCATTTCAAAATAAACACCTAAAACAAATATAATATTAAATTGTACATAAATTATTAAGTTAAATAAAATCAGGCTGATTACACTATACAGGGTTGTGGTATAAAATTGTCATAAACCTATTACCTAATACATAAAATAAATTGTTAAGTTATCTTATAATGTTTGTAATAATAATAATAATAATAATAATACGTCATAATAATAGGTAATAATTATAATAGCTGGTAATAATAATAATAATAATATACGTAAAATATTTTAATCAGGCTGTGTTACATACAATGTTATTACATAAACAGTACAGGTTACAAGTGGGTCACTGTAATGGATGGTGTTAAATTTGAATTCAATGATATAATATCGTTGTATAAGAAAAACAATTCTGAACGAAAACGGTCAGTCAGCCTATGATATTCCGAAGTATATTTGATGATATTAAGGTGAATAAAGTAATTTATATATAACCTATTTACGTGGAATCTTGTTTTAAATTTTCAATCCTTAGCTATAAAAGTTGAACATTTTATACATTTTTAACTACAAAATTATTATTAAATTTTAAATGTGATAAATGTTGTCAAAAACTGTGCCTATGTATTTTTAATATTTTTCAACTGATAGTGTAACAATATATCAGAAGCCTTGTATTAAATTTTTACACTTTTTGGCCCAACAGATAAAACTTTATTGATATTTATAGAAAAAAAACTAAAAAAAATTGAAAGCTGTAAATGTCCGTAAACAGCTCAAAAAGAGTCAAATTATTTTCAAAATTGTATGGTGTATGGAAAATGCCAATATAAACATTCAGTGAAATTTTCAAAATTTGTAAAAATAGGAATTTCAAACGCTCATAAAAATTTAACTTGAGTTTCTTGTAGATATTTTTTATTTGATAAATGTAGACAAACTTATGAGGAATCTTGTATTACATTTTAAAATCTTAGATTTAAAAAGAAAATTTTTTATGAATTTCTAACTCAATATAATTTGCTAATTTTCGTGATTTTTCCATATTTTGTCAATTTTTGAACTTTAAATGCGTATAAAAAAAACTGTGACTAATGATTTTTAATATTTTTCAAATTTCATTGTTACAATATAGTAGGAGTCTAATTGTTTTATGGGCTTAGGCATTAGAAAAAATTGACCTATAATAATCTATTATATAGGTATCTATAATAAATTCCAAATTAATCATATAACAATATCCATTAGGTACTTATAACGCATTATGCATCAACAACAGACCCTGATACTATTATAGATATATAATAGTGTACTTTAGAAGTTTCAATTACCCACGAATAATATTATACAATCACAACAAAGTAACTAAAATAGTTATTCTATGTTTTTTATATGTAATTTAATCCAAATTTGAACTTAAAATGACTATAAAAATAAACTGTGGTTAAGTATTTTTTAGATTTTTTGGTAACAGAATAAAATACTTACGTGGAATCTTGTTTTAAATTGCATGTATATACGTTCATTTGTTTTAGAGTCACACCAAAAACCAAAATCGATTTTTTTTTGCATAAAAATTCCCGTTTTTCCTTAATTGTTATATTGTTTTTTCCGGCGCTCGTGAAAACTATTGGGAATTTTAAAATTTAACCTCCCAAATGCACCAACTAGATTCACTTTCCCATTTTATTGCAGTTGAAGAAAATCGAAGCAGTTTTACTGCCTTAAACCGTGATGACAGACTTAACAAAAAAAGAAAATCACACATCATTGTAAAATCAATACATTCATCGTTTCACTCAGAATCTAAAAGACTAATAAAATTTAAAAATGAAAATGTTCCTAAACAGTTCCAAACAAATCAAGATATTTTGAAAGTTTTATCGTGTATAGAAAATTCAAATATAAAAAACCAAAGAAAATTCCATGTATATACTTTAATTTGTTTTAGAGTTACACCAAGAACCAAAATCTAAAACCGATTTTGCGTAAAAATGTCCGTCTAAGTCAATCTGTATACCTAGTATATACAGTGTGAATATAGGACCATGGTAAAAATAGGTTTACCAGCTTAAAATTAATCTAAATACATTGAAAATGTCATTGCATGTAATAAAGTTTATAATATATAAGTACGTAAAAGTTTTATGTCCACATGAAAAATGTTTTTAAATTACAAAGAAATATCTAAAATTTTGATTCTTCGTTTAAATATCTAATTTTGTTCAAATTTGAACTTAGAATGTCTATAAAAAGAAATGTTGTTAAAATAATATAACCTATCTATGAGAAATCTTAGAAACATTACTTTCAATCCTTAGCTATATAAATTTAACATTTTATAAATGTTTAGCTACACAACAATGTTTCAAATTTTCGTGATACTCTATATGTAGGTGTACCTATCACTGAAATTGACTAATTTTGTCAAAATAAATTTGAACTTCAAATTCTTATGTATAAAAAAATGTTGTGCAGGTGTCTTTAATATTTTTTGATTGATATTATAACTACTTTTGGGGATCCTTGTATTAAATTCCCACGTTTTTTTATCCAGCGATAAATTTGTATCAATATTTTTGGGAAAAAAAACTAAAAAAAAAAAAATATGACTTCAATGTATGGCTACAATAGCTCAACAAGATTTCAAAATGATTTTAAAATTGTATCATAATATTAGATAGAAAATGCTTATATTTAGGTATATCTGGTAATAATTACTATTGCCATTTTTTAATTATACAACAAAAAAAAAAAATCCATTTTGTCTCAACCCACCCCAATGCTTAATATACTCGTACCTACCTAGCCTAACCCGAATAGATTTAGTAGTTATTACTATGGTACACAAACTACAATATATTTATTTTACGCTATACCTACTATGACTGTACAAACATAATGAGCGAAAATTGTCTAAATTACGAAATAATCATATCTTCCAAGTACATTTTATCTCTGAACATAGAAAATTAACTTAAATTGCTCGCAATAATAATTTATATCAGAACTCACACAAATGGATATAATATCGTATTATACATTTGTACACAGAATATATAGGTACAGTGACATTTTATTCAAACATATGATATTAAACATAGACTCCTCCTCACCATACTATACTCAATCCTTTCATCATGGCTACCGTTTGGTCCATTTCTCCCGACCGTACCTCCGTCTGCAGCGGAAGAAGACCGTTCGGCACAATTCCGCAAAGTCCTCGGACCACCAGTTGACTCCAGGGCTCTTATTATAAGGGCCTGGTCGTCTTGGTGGCATTGAAGCTCTGCATGCTTTGGTGAGATACTAGTTGATTCCATCCGCGGCTGCTGTGGTAAACATCCAGTGTAAATGTAAAGTATCCTAGGTCAATAGATTTAGTTAGGTAAAAAAAACAAGATTTTGTCGAAAAGGCGTAAAATCCTCGTTTTTATTTATTTTTTGAAAACTGCTGTGCATTTTGGGCCAAAAAGTGTAAAAAATTAATACAAGGTTCCTGATATATTGTTACAATAGCAATTGAAAAATATTAAAAATACATTTTCACAATTTTTTTTTCATAAGCATTTAAAGATCGCATTTTGACAAAATTTATCAAAATCTCAAAAATTATCAATCATCGTAATTGATAAATTATAAAATGTTCAGTTTTTATAGCTAAGGATTGAACATTTAGAAAAATGATTCTCATGAATAGTTCATACTGTAGCCAAAAAATCTAAAAAATATATGAACACAGTATTTTTTTACAGACATTTTAAATTCAAATTTGGACGAAATTACATATCAAAAAACCTAGAATAACTATTTTAGTTATTTTGTTGTGATTGAATAATATTATTCGTGTATACTTGAAACTTCTAAAGTGTACTATTATATATCTATGATAGTATCACGGTTTTTGTTGATGTATAACGCGTTATAAGTACCTAATGGATATTTTGATATGATTTATTTTGGAATTTATTATAGGTACCTCCCTATTATAGGTCAAATTTTGGTTTAGTAGGTACCATATAGATATGTATAATGTATATAATATTTCTTATACCTAGAATGACATACTGTCTCCGCTCAGAATCATTTTTCTAATACAATGATATTATATCGTTGAATTAAAATATAATATCATCCATTATACAGTGACCCACTTGTAACCTACTGTACAGCAGAGCGACAAACACTTGCCCACCTTTTTTTTTTTTTTTTTTGTGTCTGTCATCACGTTTTAGGACAGTAAAACTGAACAATCGACGATATGGCGACGAAAATTCCTAAAATACTGAAAATGTCGTTTTAAAATTAAACTACATTATGATAATATTTTTCGGTGACGTGTAGGGCTAGGATTAATACACGTTCGTTTGTTATTAGCATATTGATTTAATATTTAATCAATGTTATGAGTATTACCCATATGCATCACCCGAATTGGAATTTGGTTGTATACAAGATAACAAAATTGACTAATTAAATACTTTTGTTTTGCATATTTAAATATTTTTGCACTAATAAGTAATAATACATGTCCAGTTACTCCAGTAGTCCGTGGAATTTTTTTTTTGTCAGAATTTAGAAATAGTTTTTTTTTTTAAATTATTGTATTCAAAGTAGACATTTTATTTCGTAACTTGTACTTGGGGATTCATTGAGAGGGATGAAGCCTTTCGTGTTTTTTAGGAGTGATATTTAGGCAATTTACTTGTCATTTACATTTTGGCTATGTCAATGTGTGAGTAGTATATGAACATTAGTGTGTGTAATTTTGTATCGCAGTACATATCTAATATCAGTAAAATAATTAAGTCACTAACTGTATTTAATCTATATCAACTATTTATAATATAACTTATAGTCCGTATAGATTACATAATGTGTAGGTTTGTATTTTGTATCAATATAAGTTTAAATCTCAAGAATTTGAATAAATTCTTTTACTATTATGTATTATTATGTCTATAAATATTAAATATATTATATAATTTATATTGCATGTAAAATATAAATCCTAACCCTTTACAGATATCATAATAATATAACGATTAAGGATATTTTATTGGAGTATCACTCGATTACTTGTGAGCCGGATAAACAGTGGCTAAGACACCACCTAGTATTGCACCAATATAATATCCATGCGCAATGTAATGCATGCAATCGTAATGGGAAAAGTTAACCTGGAATTACATTATAACATTATTAATTAAATGCAGAAGTAGTATGTTGTAATGTACAAGTATTAATAGTTAATAAGTAATAACAAGGGTTGGGAGCTTATAGCTCTTCAAATAATTGCATAAATGTGCGCCTATAATATTACCTTAAATATGCGCATAGTTATTTTTTACAGACATTTTAAGTTCAAATTTGGGACGAAATTACATATTAAAAAACCTAGCATACCTATTTTAGTTATTTTGTTGTGAGTGTATAATACTATTCGTGGGTACCTACTTGAAACTTCTAAAGTACACTATATTATATATCTATGATAGTATCAGGGTTTGTTATTGATGTATAACGTGTTATAAGTACCTAATGGATATTGTGATATTATTAATTTGGAATTTTTTATAGGTCAATTTTTTTTTTAACACCATAGATATGTATATAATATGTCTTAAACCTAGACTGACATACCGTCTTCGCTCAGAATCGTTTTTCTTATACAATGATATTGTATCATTGAATTCAAATTTAATAACATCCATTATACAGTGACCCACTTGTAACCTACTGTACAGCAGAGCGACATCCACTTACCCACTTTTTAATTATGTAAAGTACCGACGCTTTATAAAATATTTTTTTATTGGTAGTACTTAATCATGTCATTATATAAATATTTTGTGTGGTATCTTGAGTCTTTTTTTAGAATATAATTTTTAGTATTTTGTTTTGGATTTTTTTTAATGGATCTATAGTTGTATCATACGTACCTCCCCATATAGAAATACTATAATTAATTATATATGTGTCCATAACCAATTGTGGAATAAAAATCCTCAGAAAATAAATTCCAGATTACAATATTACTCATTTCCACATGAAAATTATTGAACAAATATTTTTTAAACTCTAATTAGTGTAGTTTACCAAATGATTACTATTTAATAACAAATATAGATATAGGGTAAATTGAATAGTATTATTGGCAGGGGTATAGTTATTGGCACCAAGTAATTTTGTTTTTCATGTATAAAATGTTTGATTATGAATTTTAGAGATTTTTTTTTAGATTATACGGTCATATTGATACTGTTTTATTATCAATCTTGATGTTATCATATTATTTATTTGATAATTTTCTATTCGATTTCGTAATGGAGCAGCTAGGTTAGGTGCCAATAACTATACAAGTTACTTATAGAATAGGTATACCTACTTATCTTTAAAAAAATTACTTACTATAATATATAATGATATTATTGATAATATATAAAATAAAATTTTAAAAATATTTTGTTTTATAAATTATTTATTATACGATAGTATTGTTAAAAATTAAATCCCTGAAATAAAATATTACGTTTCCTAGAAAATTTTCCAGATTTTTTAAATTCAATAAGTCACAATATTGGATAACAGTGTAATAATTAAGTTTTAGTTTGTAACTACATTCAATTTTTTAATTGTTGGTATTTTAGGTATAATCTTGTACTATATATTGAAATATTAAATTTATATCGTTTAGTATTATAGACTATAGTCATAGAATATGGGAAATTTAAAATTTGGAACCACCCACAGAAAAACATTTATTAGAATCCACGTGTAAATAACAGAAACTTA